GGTTTAGATGGGTTGGGAGTTCTGGGCGGGGCTGTCAGGGGGTGGGGAGTGGTTGGATGGGGTGTGGGAGTCCCTGGTGTCTGTCTGGGGGTGGGGGGGTGGATAAGGGTTGGGGCAGTCAGGGGACAGGTAGGGGGTAGGGTCCTAGGGGGCCAGTTAGGATGGGGGGAGGGTCTCAGGAGGGGGCAGTCAGGGGACAGGTAGGGGATAGGGTCCTAGGGGGCCAGTTAGGATGGGGGGAAGGTCTCAGGATGGGGCAGTCAGGGGACAAGGAGCAGGGAGGCTTAGGTAGGGGGTGGAGTCCTGGGGGGCAGTTAGGTAGGGTTACCATACGTCCGGTTTTTCCCGGACATGTCCGGCTTTTTGGTCCTCAAATCCCCGTCCGGGCGGAATGGCCAAAAAGCCAAACATGTCCGGGAAAATAGCTTTGCCGGCATCCCTGCCCCAGTCCCCTGCTTACCTTGCGGCTCCCGCAGGCTGCGAGCTGCAGGCGGATTCCCCCGCGGCGGCTGCTGCTGCTCCCCCCAGACACCTCAGCTCTGTGTAGCTGAAGAGCCGAGCTGCCCGAGCGCTACCGGCTTCACGGTTTGCCAGGCAGCCCCCAGACCCCCAGACCCTGCACCCCTGGCCGGGCGCTTCCCCTCTCAGGCTCCGGCTGCGCTGGGGAAGCACCCGGCCGGAGGCAGGGTCTGGAGGCTGCCCGGCAAACCATGAAGCCGGTAGCACTCGGGCAGCTGTTCCACGGCTGGGAGGGAGGAGGGGGAATGCAGGGCGCTCAGGGGAGGGGGCGGAGTTGGGGCAGGGACTTTGGGGAAGGGGCGGAGTTGGGGTGGGGAAGGAAATATGGTAACCCTAAAGGACAATCTCATTTAGCTGTTAGCAGTATGGGGCCTAAGACACACAGTTGGCCAGTTCTAGTCCCATCCACTAGAGGGCAGTGTGCACCTCCGCACCCGAGCCAGTAACACAAAATGCTAGAGAATCTGGCCCAAAGTAACGCAGGAGGGAGGAACCGGGTACAGGGAAGGCAGATTGGTGCCTTACCTAGGGAAAGCACAGTCTCCAAGTTCTCCTTCATCACCTCCTTGTATAGGTCCCTCTGCCATTCTGCCAGAATCTCCCACTCCTCCTCAGAGAAATAGACGGCAACGTCGTCAAACGTCACCGGGACCTGAAACAGCAACGAGTGCACGTGTGGTCGGATTAGTCTCATTTATAGGACAGCAGCACCCAATCGCGCATGGGCCCTCATTGGGCCAGGGGCTAAACAAACACACGGGGAGACACAGTCCTGTTCCCAAGAGTTGCACCATCCAATTTTCAGACAAGATATGGTTCAATGGACAGAGGGCTGGGCTGGGATACAGGAGAACCGGGCTCAGTTCCTGGGTCTTCTGCTGACCTGCTGGGCGATTTGTACGCGTCCCTTCCTCTCGCTGTGCCTCTGTTTCCCCTTCCACCCATTGCCTGTGTTGTCTATTAGACTATGGTCTTTGGGGAAGGGTCAGTCTCTTTCAGGTGCTATGAACGACTGTACTGCCAACGGCCGGCGCGAGGAGTGATTGGCCCAGGTGGGGAGACATCTAATTAATCTGTGGAACTCATTGGCACAGGATATTCTCGAGGCCAAGAACTGAATAAGGTTCAGAACTGGTGAGAAAAGTAGGTGAAATTCACCCCCTGTAGAGACCAGCACAAAGACCAGTTACATCCCATTTCAGCCCTACAAGATCTATGCACCACTCAAGTTCCACTTTTGAATTTCACCCTATCCAGATAACTGAGATCTGCTCATTCATGTACAAAAAGAAACAATTTTGCATTGTCATGGATGGACTCAATTACTTAACAGAATATTAAAAACATAAGAACGGCTATACTGGGTCAGACCAATGGTCCATCTAGCCACAGACACCGACTTTCCGAAGTTCCGGGGGTGCTCGACATCCAGCTCTGCCCCAGGGCCCACGCCCACTCCACCCTTTCCCCCAAGGCCCCACCCCTGCCCTGCCTGTTCCCGCCCCCCCTCCATCCTGCCCCACCTCTTCCTGCCCAGTTCCACCCCCTCCCCCGAGCAGGGCCGCCCAGAGGGGGAGAGGGGGAAGTGGGGCAATTTGCCCGAGGCCCCACAGGGGCCCCCACGAGAATATACTATTCTATAGTATTGCAACTTTTTTTTATGGAAGGGGCCCCCCAAATTGCTTTGCCCCAGGCCCCCTGAATCCTCTGGGCGGCTCTGCCCCCAAACACACCGCATCCTTGCTCCTCCCTCCACCCCACCCCCAGCCTCCTGCATGCCGCGAAACAGCTGATCGCAGCATGCAGGAGGCTGGGGGGGAGGCGCTGATCAGTGGGGCTTGCCGGCTTGCTCAGCACCCACCATTTTTCCCCCATGGGTGCTCCAGCCCCGGAGCACCCATGGAGTCGGTGCCTATGCATCTAGCCCAGTATCCTTTTTCTGACAGTGGCCAGTGCCAGATGTTTCTGGCAGTTGGAGGGTTAGGGACACCCAGATCATGGTGTTACGTCCTTGACCATCTTGGCCAGTAGTTCTCGAACTATTGCACTGGTGACCTCTTTCACATAGCAAGCCTCTGTGTGCAACCCCCCTTATAAATTAAAAACACTTTTTTACATATTTAACACTATTATAAATGCTGGAGGCAAAGTAGGTTTGGAGGCTGACAGCTCATGACGCCCCATGTAATAACCTCGTGACCCCCTGAGGGGTCCCGAGCCCCAGTTTGAGAACCCCTGATCTTGGCTAATAGTGGTTGATGGACCTATCTGCTATGAACTTATCTAATTCTTTTTTGAACTCAGATTTACTTTTGGCCTTCACAATATCTCATGGCAATGAGTTCCACAGGTTAATTGTGGCTCGTCTGAAGAAGAATGTCCTTTGGTTTGGTTTAAACCTGGTGCCCATTAATTTCATTGGGTGACGCTGGTTCTTGTGTTATGTGAAGGGATAAATATTTGCTTTCTCCACGCCAGTCATGATGTATAGACCTCTAACATATCCCCCTCCCTCAGCTCTATTTTAAACTGAACAGCCCCAGCCTTTTTCATCTCTCCTCCCACGTCTAATGTTTCTGAGGCCATGGAAAGCTCCGTTTGTGATCTATCTTAACGAGTGTGTGCCCTGTCCCTATTGCACATAAAGCCCCACTCATGGCAGACAGACTTGGCTGAAAGGCACTTTCCCAGAGCCAGCACACACGGAACTGTTTCTACCAGCCTGGGAGGAAAGGGAAGGGCAGGGCGTGGGACTGTCATTCCATGGCAAGGGATCGATCCAGAGAGAAGGGCAGGGATGAACATTTAAAGCCAGTGGACAGGTAGGTCAGAAGAGACTGCCCTTGGCTCCCACCTCCAGGAAAGTTAGCGCCAGAAGCCAGTCAGGGCCCTGGGGTAGAAGGCAACGGGGCCGCTCCTGAGAAGTGCACCTTTTCCCCGGGGGGTGCTGAGCCCTCTCCGCTCCCTGTGCAGCTAGTGGGAGTTGAGGAGGCTCTGTGCCCAAGAGAGGGAAAGGCTCAGCTGATGCTAGGGATTTACATACAGAGCTGCCTGAGCTACCCGGTCCTTTGTCTCCTGTTGCTGGGCTGGAGATCTGCGTTTAAAACACAGGCAAAGGGACCACACGAGTCTTGTCTCTCAGGCTGTCCGGATGGGGAGCGAGGGGTGCATGTGTGTGTGGTGTTTTAACCCTTGCGATGCTGGGGGGATTCAGAGGAATGGCTCCTGCTCATGCAGCCAGGTCTCCATCCCCCACCCCCCTGCCCGGCATGGAAATTAAACACCAGGGAACATCAGCCATGACTCCCAGAGCCCTGGCCTCAGGCACTTTCAAATCTGATACCTACTGACATGTCAGACATGTTGCTTAATTTACCCCCGTCAGGGCCGAGCAGCAGCCTTGGTCTGTGATGTGCTGGGGCCACGACCGACTGGCACCTGCCAACGTCTGAAAGCTGCCAAGGGAGGCAGATGGGGCATGGTTTTTTGCTCCATTGGACTAGGCGGTCCGGGAGGGGAGACGGGACAATATTGGTGACTTGGGGACTGTTCTCAATCGGAGGCGAGGCCTGGGTGAGCTTGGAGTGTCCGGTTAAGAAGACTGGGAATGGCCCCGGGGAACCCCGGGCACTGATCCTGTCCAACAGACACCAGTAACCACAAGCCGCTCGGGTCGGACCGTCCACCCAACCCTTACCTTGCGGGAGAGCCCTTCAGACATGTCGGCAGGTGATGCGAGGTGTCCGGGGCTGGGAGCCGGTCAGCAGCCTTCACTCAGATCTCTCCACCTCGCAGGCCTCCATCGCTCACGTTTTCATGTGACTGCAAGAGCGAGTTCCCAGTCAGCCGGTGCAGGCCGCCTGCCCCGCTCCACAAGCTGATGGATACAGGACTGGGGAAGATTAGCTGTCACAGCTCAGAGCAAGGGCAGGGGGTATGGGGAAGGGGGTGGTCCTCAGAGCCAGTGAGGGGGACAAGCAGGAGCACCCCAAACAGAGCTCCAGATGGTCACTGCTTTGGCTGATCAAATCCCCCTCTGCCGAGATGGTCCTCAAATCAGAGGGGCATCTCCCTGCATCAGAGCCATCTCCCATTGTAAGAGCCTCACAGGAAGGGGCCGCGTGGGCTGCTGCTAGAGGGGGACGCTGGGAGATGTAGTTCTTCTGCCCAGGCCTTGCTGTGGGATGCCTGCGTGTGCCAGCCGCAGTCCCCAGCACAGACCCTCCCCAGCTTCCTACGGGAAGAGGGGATAAACTACATCTCCCAGCCGGGCCGGGGCTGAGAGCCGGGCACTGGATAGGGGAGAGGAGCTGCAGAAGCACCCGTTCCTGTCCCACTTGCTCAGGGCCGGCTCCAGGCACCAGCCTGGCAAGCAGGTGCTTGGGGCGGCCGCTCTGGAGAGGGGCGGCACGTCCAGGTATTCGGCGGCAATTCGGCGGACGGTCCCTC